ATTCTTGTCTGATTTTTGTACCAGATTAATGCTAGCTTCCAGGAATGAGTTTGGCAGTGCTCCTTCTCATTGTATTTTGTGGGAGAGTTTGAGGAATATTGATGCTAGATTTTCCCTGAAGTTCTGGTAGAATTCTGCAGTAAATCTTTCCAGTTCCTGGGCTTTTCTTGATAGAGTTTTCATTACTGCTTCTCTTTCACCACCTGTTACTGGTCTGTTCAGGCTTTTTATCTATGCTTGGTTCAGTTTGATAATTCATATGTGTCTAGAAATTTCTCCATTTCTTTTAGGTTCTCTAATTTATTAGAATATGTTTTTGAAGTAGTTTCATTGATTGGTTTTGGGTTTTTTTGAAAGCAGGTCTCGCTATGTAGTCAAGCTGGCCTTGAACTCACTATGGAGCCAACCTAGCCTCAAACTCATGGCAGTCCTCTTGACTCAGCCTCCTGAGTGCTAAGATCACAGGGGTGCACCACACACCCAGCCTTGAAGAAGTTTTTTTAATCATCTGGATTTCAGTGGTGCCCATTATGATTTTGCCTTTTTCACTGCTAATTGCACTGATGTAGATTTCTTTTCTCTCCCTCTCTCTCTTTTTTTAAAGGTTGGCTAAGAGTTTACCAGTTTCGTTTATTCTTTCTTTTTGTTTTTTTGAGACAGGGTCTCGCTATGCCGTTCAGGCTGACCTTGACCTCACTTTGTAGCCCAGGCTGGCCTCAAACTCTCAAGGATCTTCTTGCCTCAGCCTCCCCGAGTGCTGGGATTACAGGCGTGCGCCATCATGCCTGACTTCGTTTATCCTTTCAAACAATCAACTCTTGATTCATTTATTCTTTTGATACAGGAATGACATAGGACTTCCAAATGTCATATAAGGGAAAGGTTGTAACTTCCAACATGATCGACATCCTGTATTTTCAAGTTCATGTTCCTCCAAATCGAAGAATGAATTTGAAGGAACTATGAAGTTAAGAGTAAGAAATATTGGCAAGGTGTGGTGGTGCATACCTGTCATCCCAGCACTTGGCAGGCGAAGGCAGGAGGATCACTATGAGTTCAAGGCCAGCCTGAACTACATAGTAAGACCCTGTCTCAAAACAAACAAACAGACAAACAAACAGGAAATATTTATTGTCTAAGAGAGACAGAAAGGGACCTGGAAAGTGGCTTACCGCCGAGCCCACTTCTCAAAGTTTTATAGAGCAGAGATCATGAGGTAGGTACAAAATCATGAAGTGGGTGTAAGGTGGGACAAAACTATGATCACCCAATAAGATTACAAGTATAGTTGCTTAGGTAATATTGATCCAATGGAAAATAATGAGGCAGGTATAAGGTGGGACAGAACTATGATCAACTAATAAGTTTACAAGTATACTCACTTTGGTTATATTGATCCAGTGGGGAAGCAGGTCATGTTGTAAGTGTGCCTGGAAAGAACAAGGACCTATCCTGGAAAGGATGGGTCAAGGTCTTGGTCCCCTACCCAGTTGATTGATGTCTATTTAGAATATCAACCATTGTTTTTCCCTGGGGAAGTAGGTATAGTCACTCATCTTTGTTTTGAGGCCTGGCCTTTAGCAAATGTGCCTCTACCCACAGTTGTAATGTGTTCTCATCTTCTGCACTGACTCCTTTGAGGGTCTAGCCCTATCTGACTGCCTATGGTATTTCTATCTAACTTAGCTGTCTGTAACACTGTGCATTGCTTTTTAGTCTCAAGGTCATTAATTTTCACTTTGATCTTTATAATTTCTTCTACTGGTTTCAGATTTGGGTTGTTCTTTTTTTTATGACTTGAGATACATCACCAGGTTATTTATTTGGGATTACTCTATTCTTTTAATGGGTATATTCACATCTATAAATTTATCTCGTAGGACTGCTTTCAGTGTGTCATAGGTTTTGATGTGTTTCCATTGTCATTTGGTTCTAGAAACTTTTCAATTTCTTCCCTCATTTCTTCTGTGATCTGTTGATTATTCAGTAATGAATTACTCTCCATGTATTTGCATAATTTCTGTGGGTTTTTTTAGCTGCTGATTTCTAGCTTCATCCACTATGATTTGGTAGTAGGGAATTATTTAATTATTGCAATTATTTTGTCTTTTATAAGCATGCTTTGTGGCCTAAGATATGGTCTGTTTTGGGAAAAAGTTCTGTGTGCTTTAGAGAAAAATGTGTATTCTGTTGTTGGATGAAACACTCTGTAGGTACCTGTTGTCAGTTTGCTCAGTATTGTGGTTTAACTCCAATACTTCATTGATTTTTGTCCAGTTGAGCTGTGTAATTGTGATAGTAGGATATTGAAGTTACCCACTGTGATTGTACTGGTGTCTGTCTTTATAGCCAGTGTTTTTGGTTTATGAATTTGAATGTGTCAACATTTTGGTGCAGTTGTTATCTTTTCCTGTTGAATTGTTCCCTTACCAGTATATAGTGGCCATCTTTTTCTCCTCTGATGAGTTTCAGCTTGAAGTACGTTGCATCTGAAAATAAGATAGCAGCTTTTTGTTGCTTTCAGGTTCTGGTTGCATGGAGCATCCTTTTTTATCCTTTCATTTTCAGACTGTCTGCTTTCTTTTGGATGAGGTGTATCTCTTTTAGGCAACGTATGATTTTTTTTTCTTTTCTTTTCTTTTTTTTGTTACCAGGAATTGAACTCAGGATCTTGCACTTGCCAGGCAGGCACTGTGCCACTGAGCTACATCCCCAGCCTTGGGTGTTGTTTATGATCCCAGTCTGCCAGTTTGTGTCTTTTGATTGGGAAATTATGACCACTGACATTAAGAGTTAGGTTTTCAGTAAGATATTTAGTGAATCTTGTCATTGCATTGTTTTTCCACACTGATTCTTTAATTTTTTTTTTTCTTTTAACTACTCTCCGAGTTAGATGTTTACTTTCTTTATGTGTCTTTGGTGCTGTTGGTCTCCCATTTTTTGTGCAGGGTTCCCTTAAGTATTTTCTACAATGTCAGTTTAGTGGTCATACATTTCTTCAGGGTTTCTTTTTTGTAGAAAGTCTCTACTTCTCCATCAATTTTGAAGACTAATTTTGTGGGATTTAGAAGTCTGGGTTGATAATGGTTTTCTTTTAGGGCTTGAAAACTTAGCTCCAAGCTCTCCTGGCTTTTAAAGTTTGTGCTGAGAAATGTATCATTTGGATATACTTGACTTTATAAGTTGCTTGCTGTCTTACTTCTAACAGTTTTCAGTGTTCTCTCCCTTTGTTGCATTTCTAAATTTTAATTATCCTGTGTTGTGGATAGTTTCTTTTCTGGTTGTAGCTATTTTGGATTTTGCATACCTCTTGGATTTGAATACTGAATTATTTCTCTAGATTTGGAAAATTTTCTGCTATGATTTCAGTGAATACATTTTTATACCTTTTGAATCACCTTCAAATTTTCCCTTTATTCATATGATTCTTTTTTTTTTTGTCTTGTTGAGACAGGGTCTCGCTATGCAGTTCAGGCTGGCCTTGAGCTCACTTTGTAGCTCAGGCTGGTCTTGAACTCACAATGGTCCTCCTGCTTCAGCCTCCCAAGTGCTGTGATTACAGGCATGCGCCACCACGCCTGGATTATTCATGTGATTCTAATATTGGTTGTTTCTGAATGATCTAGCACTCCTAGATCCAGGTTTTGAGGAGTCTTGTTGTATAGGGTATCCTGAGTTTATGATCTACTACATTCACGTTGTTCTCTGACACTCTGTCGTCACATTGGTCAAACCTGCCACCCATGCTTTCCATTGAATTTTAGGTATCTTGTATTTCTGTTTGCTTTTTTTTTTCTCTCATAATTTCTAGTTCTTTACCAAATGGTTATAAATGTCTTATATTATCTTGTTTTACTCAATTAGTTTGTTTTTTCTTTAAGCTCATTGAACATTTTATTTGTAAAATCCTTTATCTGCTAAGGAACTTATGTTTCTTTTCTTTTTTTTTAATCCCTTCAAATGTTTTCACCCTTTGGTTTTTTAGTTCTTTGCCTATGGCTTCCTAAACTTTAGTGCCTGTGAGTTCAGCTTTGGGGGCTGTCAGGGTTTTGGAGGCATCTAGTTGCCTTGCTTTCTTGCACCATGTGTTTGTTGAGTGTCATTTAGGGTAGGGAAGCTCTGTTGCTACAGTGGAGGTCTCTTTAGTTGTATACCATGTCCCTGTGATGTGTCCTTGGGTCTGGTTATGTTCTGGTGCTTATACCCTCTTCAACCTTCTGAGAATGATAGCATCAGTCCCAGGCACCCTGCAGATTCTGGCAAGAGGCCTCCAACCAACTTGTGGGTGCTGCTACCTCTAGTCTGCCATCTTCCCTCATGTGGTCTGTTCTGCTCTTTTAAATCCTTACTTCTTCATCACTGAGAGTTTGGCTTCACCCAAAAGGGTACGTTCTTTTAGGTACTTTGCCACAGAAATCAAGCCAGTCTGCCACATACCCCTGGGCATGCATGCCACAGGCAGAAAGCCTTTCCAGGACCCTCTGGCCCTGTCTCTCCCCAGAGCTCCCCCTTTTTAAAGTTATTTTTACTTTGTGATAGGGTCTCACTGAGTTGCCAAGTTTGAACTTATAGCTGAGTTTGAACTTATGGTCTTCTTGCCTCAGCTTCCCAGAGTGCTGAGGTTGTAGGTGTCCACCCCCACACCCAGCTTCTCTGCTCCCTCTTGGTGCTGCTTCTTAGCCTATAGCATTTTAGAAGATCTTGCTCCAAGATGGTGTATGGACACAGGTGTGGCCATCCCAGTGCTCCCACCTGAGCACCATGCAGTTGCTGGAAGAACCTAGCACCCTCAAATTCACCTGGTGTTCCTGGGCCTTGCTGTGGTCCTCCTCCCATTGCAGGTGTGAGGCTATTCTTTTCTCTAGCCAGGCAGCTGGCTCTTGGAGGAAGGCTGGCTTAGGCTGGACAGTTGCTGAGATGGTCATTTGATACTCCTACCTTTTAACAGAGATGTGACCAGGTAGAAACTCCTTGCTAAGTCCCTCTGTTCTGTGTTCTAGGGAGGCGCCACATCCACCACCTGGGGAGCCAGCTGCAGCTGAACCAGCACTGCCTTGACACTGCCTTCATCTTCTTCAAGATGGCCGCAAACAAGAGCCTCACCCGCGGACGCAAGATGGCCCATGTGATCGCCGCCTGCCTCTACCTGGTGTGCCGTACAGAAGGCACGCCTCGTATCCTTTGTTGTCTTGTTCCTTCAAGTGTGACTCTGTAGTTGCAGAAACTTGGTGTTCATATTCAGCTGACAGATGCCTCCTTGGATTGCCAGTCTCCATTCCAGTTTGAGGGATTGGGAAGCTGAGTGCCCCCCACCCGCAGGTTCTACTGGACCCCAGAAACTGTGCCTTGAATTTTCTTCCTGACCTTAGATTGACTTAGCCTTGCACACTGTTTTTGGCATCTTTCTCTGGTTTGAAGATCTGGGGTGCTGCTTTCAAGGCAGATTGTTCAGGCTGAGCCTGTGTCCTTGTGACTTTGGAGAACAGAGGAGGAAGGGGACTGCTCGATGTGTCTGCTGGCCATACTTCCTCTCCACAGTGTTGCCTGGTCCTCTTTGCAGGTTCAAGCAACCAGCCTTGAGCTCTGCATATGTGCATGTGCCTCAGGAACTCTGCCTGTTGTCTTACTGAAGAAACCTCCCAGTACTTTCTGACCTCCTCAACCTTGTACTGTCTGCCATCTGTGCCCACTAAGCGTGTGTCATTTGGAGTTTTTTGCCCTATTGCTCTGGGGCTCCTGGGCCCACCCCTCTTGCTTTTGTGGGATATCTTCTCTAGAGGCTTCCTGAGAACAGGGCCTACTGTGAGCTGTAAACAGTTATAAACATCTGGTAAATTGTAGATTTCAGTTGCACATCTGCCTACAGGCTGCATGGTATTGCTCAGAGCCTTTTTACTGTAGCACTCTTTACCCACAGTTGGTGCCCTTCTGAGCCTTGGCTCCTCGTGTGTGACCATTGTGTTTCTCCCAGATCTGATGGTCCTGTGAGAGAGAGTTCAGTCCTGGCAGATGGTCAGGACTCTGCCAGAGGACTTAGGACCTGCTTCCAGCTGGGCGGCCCTAGATCTCAGAGTCTTTTGTTTAAATGTCCCTTGAAAAGTGTGAAATTTATTATGTTGGGGACAGTGCAAACATTTGTGCAGCCCCAGTGTGGGTTGGGAATGGAGCCCACCACATAGCTGACCAGCCATATCTCTGCTGCTGCCAGATATTCCTGTGCCCTTTTCTGTCCTTGAACCCCACTGCAAATGTCACATGGCAGGCACTAGCTGTGGGTCAGGACCCTTGGTAGGCTGGCAGAGCTCATGGACCATCTAGCTCTACCTCCTGAGTTTACAGGAGCCTTTTAGGGGCTCCTGGGAAAGAAGATCCCCTGTGTGGACAGCCTCAAACCTAGGAAGGAGGCTGGCCAGTGTGGGCTGTGTTGCCCCGCCACCCACCAGGTCGGAGCAGATGCCCTATAGTAGAAGGAGCATCCTTAGCCACTCTAGGAGTGGGAACTTCTGAGCAAGGTGGTAAAGTAGGACTTGGGAGTACAACACTGCTGCGTTGGGAGGAGAGGTAGCAAGCTCTGTTGAAAACTGCTTCCAAAATTACCAGCTACCACCTGACCCAGCTGCCTGGGCCTGTGGACAAGAGAAATAAGGAGCCACATCTACATAGGGCTTGTATGCTGGTATTCATAGGAGCCCCCAGATGTCCAGAGATGTTACTGCAGCTTATTGCAAAAGCACACATTTGTGTGTATGTGTCGGCGGGGGCACTTTTGTCTATAGCAGTTTTTTTTTTTTTTTTTTGTCTTTTTGAGACAGGGTCTCACTATGTAGTTTCGGGCTGACCTTGAGCTCACTTTGTAGCCCAGGCTAGTCTCGAACTCGCAAGGATCCTCCTGCCTCAGCCTCCAGCAGTTTTTTTTAAACAATTGTTTGTAGAATTCATTTTTTAGGTTCAATTGAATTTAATGACTTTTTAAAAACTTCTATTTTTATTAGCACATGTTTGAAGTACAGAATGATTATATTCATGGTGGGGAATTGGTACATGTACATAACATATCTCAATTTTTTTTCCTCTTGGTTCCCTTCCACCCCCATTTTTTTCATTTTTGCTAGCATCAGGTATATTTATTTCTTTTATAACTATTTATCAAGTTAATTATCATAAACACAGATTAACAGCCAGACTGACAGGCCAAAAGCATAAAAAAATACTGAATCAAAATGTATTTTTAGATACATTGGCCATGCCTATAGCTTTTTTAAGTCTTTGGTATTTATTTGGTTCCAGCCAAGCTTGTGCAGGGTGGCGTGTGAACGGTGGTCTTAGGATGGTGAGGATAGGTGGGTGGCTCAGGTGAAGGCCCAAGTGAGGAAGCTACACTCTAGCTGGCTGTCCAGGGGCAGGGCCCCCGTGGTACCCAGGTCGTTGCCTGGATAGCTTGCTTATGGCAGACTGGCCTCCATGTACATGCCTAATGGTGCTGGAACAGGCCCTTTGGGCTGTGTCCTGCAGTCTTGAACATTTAGGTCAGTGGCAGTCCTCACGCATCGGTCATGGCAGCTTCCAGAGTCTGCATTTCTGACAGGTTCCAGGTGCCCTGTGCCCTGCTTCAGCTGAGGATGATAGGGTAGCTGCGTATTCTGCTGCTGTCAGACTCTATCCCACTTCCCCCTGTTCTCACTGCCTCCTCAAAGACAGTGGATTCAAACTTGGTTAAGTGGGCAAGCATTGATAGCAAAGTGGTTTGTACTCCCCTTAAGGCTGATGTAGAAAGGACTACCCATACCCGGTGTTGGCCAGCTGTGAGCATGGGACTCCTGGGCCAGTGTGTCATGCCACCCACTGACTCCTTTACCTTCTGTCAGTGGGGAGGCTTAAGACATCTTTCTTAGATTTATTCCCTAAGTGTTTGATGTTTTGAGCTCATGTAAATAGTATCTCTTGTGCTAGTATATACAAGTATAATGGAATTTTGTGTTGGGTGTGTGTGTGTGTGTGTGTATGTGTATTTTATCCAGTAATCTTACAGAAACTTGGGTGTTAGGCTAGGGTTGTATCTCAGTGGTAGAGTACTTGCCTAGCATGCGCAAGGCCCTGAGTTCAATCCCCAGTACCACACACAAAAAAAAAAATGAAAAGAAAGAAAGAAAAATAATTTAGGTGTTAATCTTATTTGAGCTTTGGAGTATGTTTTTAAGTACACAGTATAAGAAATGAATTTATTTCTGGGCCAAAAAAAAAGAAATGGGACTCAAGAGGCAGTGAAAGCGGGGCTAAAAATTCAAACTCTTGCAAGAGTGGTGTCTGTACGGAGACAGGCAGCCTCCAGTGGAGAAGCTATGTGGTTTAATTCCTAAAGCGCAGGAGTCCCTCCCTTTATCTTCCACGGCTTGGGATCCCAGGTTCATAGTCTATCCTGAGCGATCTGTTTCGTCTACACTTGTTGCCCTCCCATCCTTTCCCTTCTTACCTCTTGCTTTCTCTTTGTAGTTATTTTTAGTTTTTTTTTGGCTTCCCAAGATTCAGGAAGACTTGTTTAATAGTTGCCTCTTACCCCAGAATCTTTTCTCTGGTGTGAGTATTTGTACAGCCTGAGTGTCCTGGTCTGCCAGATGACTGAGCTAAGTCTGAGAATAAGGGCTTAGTAGAGTGGTTAATTAAATATGGACTGATTAAAACTATGTGTACCTTTTATAGCAGTTGTATCTGCTACTAATAAAGCCATTTTTAGTTCTTCCTTGCAAGTCCATGTGGCCATTATCTGTTTTTCTTGTCTTTTACTGCCTGTGACTGCCAGATATAGTGAGGGGAGATGTCTTTGGCTACTGCCCAGTCTCCAGAGAGATGCTTTCTGCTCTCCACTGTTAGATTTTTTGCAGTTGGGTTTTTGTAGATGCCTCTTTATCGGGATAAGTGTGTTATTTTTTTTCCTTAATTTTCCAAGCATTTTTATCATGAAGGATACAGAATTTTATCCCCTCTGACCCCAACTGTGGAAAGCACTATAAATTACATTCATTATTTTTTAAAGGGGAAGCCTGCTTTGGACACCCAGACTTGGTCATGGCATACCCTTTTTTCTTTTGCCTTTTTGAGACAAGGTCTCTCTATGCAGTTCAGGCTGGCCTTGAGCTCACTTTGTAGCCCAGGCTGGTCTCGAACTTGCAACGATCCTCCTACCTCAGCCTCTGGAATGCTGGAATTATAGGTGAGTACTACCATGACCTGCTGGTTGTGATTATTTTCTTCAAAGATTTAGGACTAGCCAGGGTCTATCCTTTGTTGTTTTGGTTTTGGGAAATTGTATTTTGCAAGGCTTCATTGACATTATGACAGCTGCCAAATGTATTGCCTGAATTTTTTTTTTTTTTCTGAACTTATTCTTAATATTCCCTTAACATCCTTTTAGACTGTCTGAAACAGGAGCTGGGCTTGGTGGTGCATGCCTATAATCCCAGCACTCAGGAGGCTGAGGCAGGAGGATTGTTTTGAGTTCGAGACTAGCCTGGGCTACAAAGTGAGCTCAAGGCCAACCTGAACTGCATAACCAGACCCTGATGCAAAAAGACAAAAAATAAATAAATAAATAAACAAACAAACTATCTGAAACAATTATGGAGGTATCCCCTCTTTCATGTCTTCTGTTGGAAATTTTGCGTTTGTTTTTTTGGATCCGTCTTGCTAAAGGGTTATCAGTTTTTTTATGAATTTTTTTTCTTTTCTTGTAACAGGTTTTGTTTTTAATTTTTTTGTTACTGGCTTTTTTTAGGGGGGTGTCTTTCTTGGGGAGCATCTTTTTTTGGGGGGCACGTCTTTTTGAGACAGGATTTTGCTATGCAGTTCAGGTTGGCCTTGAACTCACTTTGTAGCCCAGGCTAGCATTAAACTCGCAGAGATCCTCCTACCTCAGCCTCCTGAGTGCTGGGATTACAGGCATGTGCCACTATGCCCGGCAGTAACAGATTTAGTGAGATGTAGTTCACACACCATACAGTCCACCCATTAGCATGTACGAGTCAGTAATTTTGGTCTGTTTACAGAATTTTGCAACCATCACCTTTAGTAAAGCCTGTGTGTACCTTTACCCCCCACTCTGTGAAGCCACTGGCCTGAACAAGCCGCAGATCCACCTTCTGTTTCCTGTATTTGCTTGTTAGCACAGCATATACCTGAA